TGAGTTTTGGAGACTGTCATAATTGGTCAGTAAATTTCCTACCATGTAACTAAAAATTTTCTTGTTTATCACCAGATCCTAGAACCCTATCGATATTGTCTCTGCTGTGTAAATAGTTCTGAGTAGTGCAATATTGCTTATAGGGTTTTGGTGTTTGGGAAGAACAATGGGCACGTTGCAGAAATGATGCAGCTGAAACTGAAGCAACAGTCATCTTTGTTTAGGAAGAAAACAAATAGTAGAAGCTACTTTTCAATACATACATTAAAATCTGAAACTCAAAGGTCAAATTTTTTTTTTTAATTTATTTTTGGTTGCATTGGGTCTTCGTTGCTGCGCGCGGGCTTTCTCTAGCTGCGGCCAGTGGGGGCTACTCTTTGTTGCGGTGCACAGGCTTCTCATTGCGGTGGCTTCTCTTGTTGCAGAGCACGGGCTCTAGGCACGCGGCTTCAGTAGCTGTGGCACGCGGGCTTCAGTAGTTGCGGCATGCGGGCTTCAGTAGTTGTGGCTCGCAGGCTCTAGAGCGCAGGCTCAGTAGTTGTGGCGCGCGGGCTTAGTTGCTCTGAGGCATGTGAGATCTTCCCAGACCAGGGCTCAAACCCGTGTCCCCTGCATTGGCAGGCGGATTCTTAACCACTGCACTACCAGGGAAGCCCCAAGTTTTTATATATTAGAAAAAAGAAACACTTTCATTAATTTTAACATTTTGACAAATTAAACTTTGGTTTATTTGTGGTATAATGAAATAATAGAAGTTTAGTTTCCATCTCTCTCATTTAATAGGAGAGACTCAGAGGGAAGGTACTGGAGGCCACATAGCTGGTTAGTGAGACCAGAACTAGAACTTCTGCCACATATCTCAATCCTCTTATTTTCTTTTCTTCTGTACCAGACTACCAGGTTATATTCAGAGGGAATTTTTTAATGGACTAACTGCAGAGATATTAGATTTAAAACTTAAAAAAAAACTGTTTAAATTTAATATTAGGTAAAGTCTTTACATTTTTCCCCCATCTATGTGATTCTTATTGGATTTAATGTCATGTATAATTTTGGTCTAACTACATAAAAACAGAGTAATGAAAATAGAACTAGAGGGAAGTCACTTAGACTATTTCTTCATTTATAAAATGAGGGGTTCAGATCAGAGAATCTTCATTGTTTTTCTCTTTCTCAACATTGCGTTGGCACCCTTTTTCTTTTTTTGTCCCCTGCTTAATCCACAGTCCACTGACTTCGCTAATAAGTAAATACTTCCCCTAGGTTTTATCACAAAATGTTCTGTTCAATTCTTCAAGGAGGATAACATTCTACTCTCAAACTGTTTTTCCTCTTTTAAAAAAGTTTTTAAATTGTGGTTAAATACACATAAAATTTACCATTTTAGGCATTTAAAATGTAAAGAACTCAGCAGTATTAAGTACATTCTCATCATTGTGCAACCATCACCACCACCCATCTCCAGAACTTCATCTTTCCAAACTGAAACTCCACATGTTAAACAATAACTCCCTATTCCCTGTACCCCCTGTCTTTTAAAATCTGTTTAAATTTCTATTTGTTCTCTGAAATATTTTCCAAATAGAAGTGTGGGTATATTACTTAAAGGGGGGATGGAAATTTTTTTAAAAACCTTTTGAAAGCAGTGGTATACATATAAGTGCAGCTGTGGTGGGAAAGTGGCAAGTCCTGAATTTTAGCATTTGCCAATTTCCCTGGTGTATATATTTCCACCCTAGCCGAATTTAAGCTATCAGCATGATGTCACTGAAAATGGAGTTGGAAAGACATGCAATAGTAGCATGTGATATATTTCTACTGTATAGATATGATAGACCTCAAGAGCATAGATAAGAGTAAAATATAGTAAAATAACTAGGAAGTTATGGTTTTTTTGTATATATTTGTTTTTAATAATTTATTTAGTTGTAAATTTAATAATTTAATTTTTAGTGATGCCTGTGTTTAACAATTGGCTTGCAAAAATTCCTAAAAATTTAGCCGGCTCCATCATGCCATTGATTGGAAGCACACTCTTTGGAATCATTTATTTATTTATTTATTCATTCATTCATTCATTCATTCATTCATTCATTCATTTAGCTGTGCTGGGTCTTAGTTGCAGAACGCGGGATTTTAGTTGTGGCACGCGGGATCTTGTAGTTGTGCAACGTGGGATCTTGTTCCCTGACCAGGGATTGAACATGGGCCCCCTGCACTGGGAGCACAGAGTGTTAACCACTGGACCACCAGGGAAGCCCCTGGTATCTTATTAAAATATAAATTACTTAAGGGAAGGAACCACTTCTTTTTGGTACTATTTGGTGATTTTAGTACGTTGTGGACCCCCAGGTATTACGTGAAGCCATAGCTGAAACCACTCTCTTGAGAAGACATTGTTAAATGGACTGTGGGATTATTTATACTAGATAAATTTAAGCAGAACTAAAATATCAAGTTAAAAAACATTGGGCTTCCCTGGTGGCGCAGTGGTGGAGAGTCCACCTGCCGATGCAGGGGACACAGGTTCGTGCCCTGGTCGGGAGGATCCCATCCCACATGCCGCGGAGTGGCTGGGCCTGTGAGCCATGGCCGCTGAGCCTGTGTGTCCGGAGCCTGTGCTCTGCAACGGGAGAGGCCACAGCAGTGAGAGGCCCGCATACCGCAAACAAACAAACAAAATATAGGCTTGGGACTTCCCTGGTGGCACAGTGGTTTCAAGCCCTGGTCCTGGAAGATCCCACATGCCGCGGAGCAACTAAGCCCGTGTGCCACAACTACTGAGCCTGCGCTCTAGAGCTCGTGAGGCACAACTGCTTAGCCTGTGTGCCACAACTATTGAAGCCTGCTGCGCCTAGAGCCGGTGCTCCAAAACAAGAGAAGCCACTGCAATGAGACACCTCGCACCGCAACGAAGAGTAGCCACCGCTCACCGCAGCTAGAGAAAGCCCACGCGCAACGAAGACCCAACACAGCCAAAAATAAATAAATTAATTAAAAAAAGCAAAAACATAGGCTTAAGAATATCTGTTCCATAAACAAGGGCTCCTAGAATAGAGATTCTATTTTAAGGTAACCCTGGAGCAACAAATCCCATAATCCTAAGAATTTTGTGGTAACTTAATAAGTTTTAAAAACTTTTATTTAAAATTATGCTTTAGCATGTTATACAAGGCCTTGAATTATACATAAAGCTACAGAATTGTGGTCTAATTCAATAATTAAAACAAATCAGGTCTTCAATGTGTAGAGCCTTTGCTTAATTTGATTTGTTCTACCCCATCCCCTCCCCCTACTTTCCATCCACATATCATACAGGTTAGTGTACTTTTTTATATAAAGGAAAAGATAATTCTTGAGCATATTTTAATGTGGGAATTATGCCAACAGGAATTTCTTTATATATACACACATACATATATAGTAATTACTAATATGCTTAAAGAAGTCTAATTATTGATAGATTTAATCATGGCAGCTAATAGAACAAGTATATATGACAAATGAAATGCCTCCATTTTTGGAAAACATTATAAACACTTTTTAAATAGAGAACTTCTAGATTTGTTTTTCTGGCTCATAGCAACTCCTTGCTGTTAGAGATGCAAATCAGATACTGATTATTGGAAAATTTTTAAAAACAAAGACTGACTCTTCAATTTCTACTCTAGAAGTTTTTGGTTATAAAGATGGAATTTTATTAATTGCAAAGTTTTCCAATCAAATTTAGGCCAATGATGAGAGAAATTATTAGTGATGGAAGCTTTAGTTTATCTCTTTCTGAAATTCTATTCAATAGTGACAGCTTCTGACTTCAGAAGCACTTTAACTTCTGAGAACCATTTTTTCTTCCTCACTCTACCTTCCAAAGTAGAATACTTGGTGTACTTTTTGTATAATAAAAATATCTGTATACTGCTTCTCATTAGATCTGAGAACTACTTTTAACAGTTTTTGTTGGTTTATACTTTTTCCATTAAGGCTCCAAATTTTCAAGAAGCAATCTTTAGTCCAGAGCTTGATAGAAAGGTCAGAAAGTCTCCTCAGCTGTGGGCTACGAACAGGAGACCTTCCCTGAGGAATTCATGTTTTGCCTTTCACAGTAAACTCAAAGGATGGTGGTTGTTTCCCTGACAAATTCAAGGTAGTACATGCTTTAAGATCTAGTAAAAGATGTAGAATTCCCCCAAATTCAGAATAATTTGTAGATTATATCACATTCAGAAATAAACCACTTTTAACACCCTGATATATATCCTTCCCAACGTTTCTCTATGTACGCACACGTATTTTACAGCCTATGGCAGTTTTCTGCTTTTTCTCTCTTAGAAGTTTACTGCAGATCAAGGTCCCACGCTAGGACCCAGGTTAAATAAATTGGAGTTATTCGGACTGCTACTCCTGTATTAATGTAGCTTTTTTTGTGAAATTTATGACTCTAAGCCTTCCAGTTTTGGTCTGTGTGGCAAATATTTGTAGTTCTTTGGTTAATGGGGTTGCAAATTATGTTAACAGCCGGAGTATCCCTGAAAATAAGTTTGTTCAGTGTTTTCATTTGAAACCACATATCCTACCAGAGGTAGAAAAACTGCCTATTTGATGAGAGTGTTAGTAACCTTAGGGAATTCTTGAAGCCATTGCTAGTTCTTAATAGAGCATGGGTATTCTAGATCAGGGGTCCCCAACCCCCTGTTAGGAACCAGGCTGCACAGTAGGTGAGCACAGTAGGAGGTGCGCGGTGGGCGAGCGAAGCTTCATCTGCAGATCCCTTGCATTACAGCCTGAACCATCCCCTATCCCCACCCCCGCCCACTCCCCCGTTCCGTGGTAAAATCATCTTCCACAAAACCGGTCCCGGTGTCAAAAAGTTTGGGGACCAATGTTCTAGATGATGGAGGTTTTGTATACTTTTCTATTTCCATATTTTCAAAATCAGTGTATATCATATTAAAATATGTGAAAATATAAAGAAAAAAGAATAGTTACAGTATCGTGTTTAGTAATATGTCTTTTGGTTCATGAAATAATTATTTCTGCTGATCTTTAGTTCCAGAAGGCTGACTCTGATCTGGATTACATTCAGTACAGGCTGGAATATGAAATCAAGACTAATTATCCTGATTCAGCAGGCAAGGTAATCTGAAAAAGAAATGTCTTTTTAACAGAATATTTTATTAAAAGATTTTCTGATAGTATTTCTAATAGTAGTAGATTATAACAATTACATTATTAAATTTATAGAATCTTTTTTGTGTTGGAAACTTGGTCACAGAATATTGGAGAGATTATACCCATAGTCAAGGAAGTTTGTGGCTCCTCTTTTTTTTTTTTAACCCATAAATAAGAATTATTGAGTCCAGAGGTGTAAACCACTATGGAAGCCTCTGAAATTCTGAGAGAATATAGATACCTCTAGGGCAGTGGTTAAATAAGAGGGGAGAAATCCTAGCAGTGATGATATTCTCTGAGGAAGATGATGATATACTATTAAATTCATTAAATGAACTGTGATTTTTGCATAAAATTATGTACTTAGTTATTTCTAAGTTTAGGTTGATTAGAAATATCTGTTTATATGCCATAAATTATAACTACATGTATACACGCCTATCTCTATAGAGATAAAGCAGACAATTTTTAAGCATTGTCTGCTAACATTAATTTAGCACTTAAAATATTAATTTACCACTTAAATCATTAATGTTTATCTTTTATAGCATTTGCTAGCAGACAAGAAATATCATATTTTACTGTTTCTCAAAAAATTTATACAATTAAAATTTTGGAGGAATTGAGTAGAAGTGCAAATTAAAATAACATTTTATATAAAATTGGGAAAGCATTGTGAATGTTCAGTTTTTACTGCTTTACATGAAATAATGGAATACCAGGATTCTATGGGAGTACAGTTTTAACTGTTCTACCTCCTTAACTGACTTGACTTTTTCTTTGTCTTTTCCTCTTTTCTCTTTTGCTGAAGAACAACCAACCAATTCTGGTCCAGTGGTACCACCTAATTGGCCAAAGCACTCATCTGAGTCATTATCTTTCGAGTACCATGTGGAAAACATTTCATGTGGGGCTTCCCCTTTTCTTCCACCTTCCATCTCTCATTTTAGTTACACTTCCAATTGTTTTTCTCTTCTACAACTTTTTTTTTTTAAAACAGCTTTATTGACCTATAATTCACATACCATGAAATTCACTCTTTTAAAGTATACATTTCAGTGGTTTTTAGTATATTTAGTTCATTGGAATTTTTAGTAATTTAGTATATTGTACAGCCATCATCACAATAAATATTTGAATATTTTCATCACCTCAAAAAGAAACCCATACCCATTAGCTGTTTCTCCCCATTAACCACTTCTCCTGCCCCTGGCCAGCTCCCCACAACTACTAATCCACTTTCTGTCTCTGAAAACTCTACAGATTTGCTGTCTGAATATTTCATATAAATGGAATCATACAATACATGGCCTTTTATGTCTGGTTTCTTTCACTTAGCATGTTTTTTTTTCTAATTGACATATAGTTGATTTACAATGTTTCAGGTGTACAGCAAAGTGATTCAGTTTTACATACACACACATATATATTCTTTTTCAGATTCTTTTCCATTATAGGTTATTACAAGATATTGAGTATAGTTCCCTGTGCTATACAGTAGGTTCTTGTTGTTTATCTATTTTATATACGGTAGTATATATCCGTTAATCCCAAATTTCCAATTTATCCCTCCCCTGCCTCTTCCCCTTTGGTAACCATAAGTTTGTTTCCCATGACTGTGAGTCTGTTTCTGCTTTGTAAATAAGTTCATTTGTATCATTTTTTTTTTAGATTCCACATATAACTGATATCATGATATGTTTTTCTCTTTCTGACTTCATTAGTATGATAATCTCTAGATCCATTCATGTTGCTGCAAATGGCATTATTTCATTCTATTTTACGGATGAGTAGTATTCCATTGTATACATATACCACATCTTCTTTATCCATTCATCTGTTGATGGACATTTAGGTTGCTTTCATGTTGTGGCTATTGTAAATAGTCCTGCTATGAACATTGGGGTCCATGTATCTTTTTTTTTTTTTAAAGAAGATGTTGGGGGTAGGAGTTTATTAATTAATTAATTAATTTTTGCTGTGTTGGGTCTGCATTTCTGTGCGAGGGCTTTCTCCAGTTGTGGCAAGCGGGGGCCACTCTTCATCGTGGTGTGCGGGCCTCTCACTATCACGGCCTCTCTTGTTGCGGAGCACAGGCTCCAGACGCGCAGGCTCAGTAGTTGTGGCTCACGGGCCTAGTTGCTCCGCAGCATGTGGGATCTTCCTGGACCAGGGCACGAGCCCGTGTCCCCTGCATCGGCAGGCGGACTCTCAACCACTGCGCCACCAGGGAAGCCCTGGGGCCTTCTTTTGGGTTGCAGACTTTTGGTTGTATCTTTAATGGCAGAAGGGGAAGATCTCTCTAAGGCCTTTTCTAGCAGAGCACTAATCCCATTCGTGATGGCTGTACCCTCATAGACATAATCACCTCTCAAAGATCCCACCTCTTAATTCCATCATCTTGGGGGTTAGGTTTCAACAAATGAATTTTGCAGGGACACATTCAGATCACAGTAATTATGGCTCTGCAAATATTGCTTTTATCCAAGTTGCGCAATATACTATGTTTGCTTTTCCTTTCTTACACAACTTGTTTTTCTGGAGCTAATAATTGTTTTCTTTTTTTCCTCTTCAATTTTCTTAGTTTTTCTATGCATTTAACATTAATTCAGGCTCAGACTTTTCTACCATAACTGTTAAACTCCTGTCAACATTGTCAGACACATCACATGATCCCTAAGTTTCATTTTCTTCCACATCCCTTGTGTGCTGTCTGTCCTCTTGCTCCAATCTAACCTTCGGCTCTACAGGCTTCCTGCATGGCTGGGAATTTCTTTACCATAATTTTGGTAATTCCCTTTGTTTTACTCCCTTTAGTTTGGATCATATATTTCACTCTTTGAGATGTCAGATGTTTGAAAATGTATTTACTTAACCCTTATTTAATCCTTTAGTTGATAGATGGTTTGGTTGACTATGGAATTCTAGATTAGAGATTATTTTCTCTTAATTTTAAAATCATGGTTTTGTGGTTTCCTAGCTTCCGGTGTTCTTGTTGAGAAATAGATGCCATTCTAATTCCTGATCAGTTGTATTTGTCTTCCTTCTTATTTTATACCTTCCACCCCCCCCCACCCCGCCCCCAACTCCTGCAGCACACCTATCTGTCTTGGAACTTTAAGAATATTTTATCTATGCTGTGAAATTTTATAATTATTTTATGATTATGATATAGATCTTTTCATTAACTGTGCTGTCACTTGGTGGGGCTCTTTAAATATGAAACACGTGAATCTAAAGTCATATCACTTTTCTTACCTATATATTCATAAGAAAAGAAATCCTCTTTTGTGGCCTTTCCCATTACTGTAATATTGGACTTCCTGAATCTATCCTCTATTTTTCTTATCTTTTCTTTCAATTTTCATTTTTGTCTACTTCCCCCCTCCTTAGGATATTTTTTTGACTGTATTTTCCAGTTTTTCTACTGGCAATCTGTTAGAATATCTAGATACATTATGAGAAATGAAGGGTTAGGGTACAGGTCTCAGTGTCATTGGGGTGTTTACTGAGTAGATATCCCCAAAGGCATCTTAATATACACTATTTGCCAGACTGTACATTTGGTGTCATCTATCATTTCTTTGCCCATATCAAACATACTATAAATTTTCTTAACTTTTTTGTGGTGTCTCCTTTGTCCTTTTCCTGCTTCTACTCTTCATGCCATAGGTCTTGGTCACTCTCTGCAGAGTTATTTTAACAGTCTTTAAGTTAGATTTTCTGTTCTTATTCATTCCTGTTAGAATCATCTTTGTTTATCAATCTCCAAAGAAGAGGGGAGTAGAGGGCCATGAACTGAGCCTCTGACTATAGCCATGAGGTAGGGTCCACAAAGGAGATACTTGAAAAGTGGGAAGATAACCAAGATACCCTAGTTTTATGGAAATCAAGAGTTCATTTTAAGAAGATTAGAATAGGAAAGAAATAAGGAGAGGCAAAAAGAGGGATATCAAAATTATAGAGCAAGTCTGACTTTTTGATTGTTTAAAATAATTTGGCAAAGGACTCTGGTCTATGGGGTCTTCTATTATTATTATTATTATTAATTTATTTATTTATTGCTGCTTTGGGTCTTTGTTGCTGTGCGCAGAGCTTTCTCTAGTTGCGGTGAGCGGGGGCTACTCTTGGTTGCGGTGCGCAGGCTTCTCATTGCTGTGGCTTCTCTTGTTGCGAGGCACAGGCTCTAGGGGCACGGGCTTCAGTAGTTGCAGCACACAGGCTCAGTAGTTGTGGCTCGCAGGCTCTAGAGTGCAGGCTCAGTAGTTGTGGTGCACAGGCTTAGCTGCTCCACGGCATGTGGGATCTTCCCGGACAAGGGCTTGAACCCGTGTCCCCTGCATTGGCAGGCAGATTCTTAACCACTGTGCCACCAGGGAAGTCCCAGGGCTATTTATTATTAAAAGGCCTAGGAAGTGTATTATTATAGGACCTAGAAGGTTGGTGGCAAATGGCGTAAGAAAAATGAAACTGGTTTTGAATCGCAACAGAGTCAAGAGAAGAGTTAATTTTCCCCTCAGTATAGGGAAAATTTATATATATTTGAGGTCTGTATAGAGGGAGGTATGAAAAGGTTATTGAAATATAGGAAATTTAAGGTTCTGGAGGATATGGGGAGGACACAACAATAATAGTGGTAGTGGGACTTCCCTGGTGGCGCAGTGGTTGAGAATCCGCCTGCCAATGCAGGGTACACAGGTTCAAGCCCTTGTCCGGGAAGATCCCACATGCCGCGGAGTAACTAGGTGCATGCACCACAATTACTGAGCCTGCGCTCTAGAGCCCGAGAGCCACAACTACTGAGCCTGCGTGCTGCAGCTACTGAAGCCCGTGTCCCTACAGCCTGTGCCTCGCAACAAGAGAAGCCACGGCAATAAGAAGCCTGCGCACCGCAACCACGAGTAGCCCCCGCTTGCTGCACCTAGAGAAAGCTCGCGCGCAGCAAAGAAGACCGAATGTAGCCAAAAATAAATAAATAAACTAATTTATTAAAAAAAAAATAGTGGTAGTGTTAGGGGCTAAGTAAGGATCAGAATGTCTGTAGTGTTTTCATTTTCAGTGAAAAGGCAGGAGTAGAAACTCCTAGATGGTTTCTGTCTTCTCAGTAAAGTAGTTGGGGTGAAGTCTTTTGCCAAGAAGGGGTGGATGGGAACTGGAGGGAGTGGAGAAAGTTTGGAATAGCTAGTATTGGAGAGTTTGCTAAGAAACCACCAGGGAATGAAAAGAATAACCAAGTGGCAGAAAGCACCCAGTTGAAATGTCTTTTATGGTATAGTGGTTTATATTCCAAAATGAATTTGAAAAACTAATGTAATTTATAAATATAGTTGCTTGAGTTGGCATGCATTTTGTATAGTGAGGTCAGTGAATTGGTGCTCATACATACTTTAGCCCCATGACAGTGTATTTAAGAATTTTAGGACTTCCCTGGTGGCGCAGTAGTTAAGAATCTGCCTGCCAATGCAGGGGACACGGGTTCGAGCCCTGGTCCGGGAAGTTCCCACATGCCACGGAGCAAATAAGCCCGTGTGCCACGAATACTGAGCCTGTACTCTAGAGACCGTGAGCCACAACTACTGAACCAGCGCGCCTAGAGCCTGTGCTCTGCAACAAGAGAAGCCACGCAATGAGAAACCCGCTTACGGCAACGAAGAGTAGCCCCGGTCTCCGCAACTAGAGAAAGCATGTGTGCAGCAACGAAGACCCAATGCAGCCAAAAATAAATTAATTAATTAAAAAAGAATTTCATCATAAGTGGTTTCAAGCTGTCTTATTCAACAAATCAAAATAGTTCCTTAAATCACCTTCTGTATAATAACATTTAGAGGGGCTTCCCTGGTGGCACAGTGGTTGAGAGTCCGCCTGCCAATGCAGGGGACATGGGTTTGTGCCCCGGTCTGGGAGGATCCCACATGCTGCGGAGTGGCTGGGCCTGTGAGCCATGGCCGTTGAGCCTGCGCGTCCGGAGCCTGTTCTCCGCAACAGGAGAGGCCACAACAGTGAGAAGCCCATGTACAGAAAAAATAAATTAATTAAAAAAAAATAACATTTAGAATTGTATTTTAGAAGTATGGTATAATTAATTATTGTGAGCTATACATCAAATATTACATATCTAATGTGACCTTATTTGCTGTTTAATATTGCTGTTTTGTGTGTGTGTGTGTGCGCACGCGCGCGTGTGTGTGCATGTGTGCATGCAGGGGAGGGGTTATTTCTGTGCCTAGGCTTTAAATTCCTTGAGAATAGGATGTAGGTCTTATACTTCTCTCTTTTTGCCTTCCTCCCATCCTCTGTCCCATAGTTGCGTATTAAATACAGTGTTCTATTAAATGGATGGTAGAATGTGCTGTATATATTTTAATTCTTAAAAGAAGCTTAATTTTTCCTTTCCAGGTTTAATATATATTAATTTTTTTCCTGATGTAGAAAAATCCTGTTACACTCTTAAAGGAATTGTCAGCAATAAAGTCTCGATATCAAACTTTGCATGCACGCTTTAAACCAATTGCTGTCGAGCATAAAGAGACTAAGAGCCACATTTGTGCTACTTTCAATAAGACTATGACCTTGATACAAGAACTACAAAAGCAAACAGACCTGAAGGTAATGCTTTCAATTGACGAGTTGGATTTGTAGAATTTTAATTCTGAATCTCTCTTTGAAAGATAAATCCCCAGTAACTCTCATTTTGAAATTCAGCAGTTGGAACTGGTGATAGAAATCAGATATTCCTGATTCCCTGAAGTATAATAGCTCTCATCTTCTTTATTTTATAAATTTAATTTATTTTTGGCTGTGTTGGGTCTTCTTTGCTGTGCGCGGGCTTTCTCTAGTTGCGGTGAGCGGGGCTACTCTTCATTGTGGTACGCAGGCTTCTTACTGCAGTGGCTTCTCTTGTTGCAGAGCACGGGCTCTAGGCACCCGGGCTTCAGTAGTTATGGCACGTGGGCTTAGTTGCTCCGCAGCATGTGGGATCTTCCCGGACCAGGGATCAAACCCGTGTCCCCTGCATTGGCAGGTGGATTCTTAACCACTGCACCACCAGTGAAGTCTCCCTCATTTTAAAATGAGCAGGTGGACTTGACATGGTTAATGAAGAGGCATGCTGTCTTGGATTATGTAGCCATGGCAGAAGAGAAATCTTCCTAATACTTATTAAATCTACCAGTTCTGCTGGTTCCTGTAAGAACTAGTGAGACTGAGAAATCTAGAAAGCATCTATACCAGTGACTTTTTTTTAGTTCTCCTTTTCTTCAGTTGGGTTGGTGGACTTGGGTAAGCCTGACCTTCATCCTCTTCCTCCATTCTGCACCCCCTTCTCATTTACTGTAAGATTCTCATTTAGTGTAATCCTCTGATGTGTAAAACTCTTTAGATATGTTGGAGTAGGAAAAAGAATATGAACTGCTGACCCAGGCACTGAGATCTTGAACAGCCAATTGAAGAGTTTGGTCGCATTTTCATTTACAATGCAAAGGTGAGGGCTTTTGAAAGAAAAGATAGCCTAATGTAGATGGAATCATAGAGTTGAATTTAATTATCTGGACAAAAGATGTCCAATAGGTTTTAATTTCTGGTGGTAACTCCAATCAGTTAACTGGTAACACCTGCTTAGAATGCTGTACTAAGGAGCTGTGTCTGGGCATGGCAAAAAAGCTATCTGCTGTGGCATGCTGCTAGGGGCAGCATACATGGTATTTATTTGCCAAGTCTGAACTAAATTATGGCTTAAGTTACTCGAATTATAGGCTTGCAGCAAGAGTAGATCTCAAAGGTTGATTACCCAGGTTAATTTGATCAAGAATTCTTTATGTTACCAATGGAGGAAAAGAGAAGAGTGCCTGGGTAAAAATCATAAAATGACACCTTAAATGTATGTGTTATGTCATGGAGAAATGAATAGTGGAAGAGGGGAGGGCAATTAAAAAGGGCACAGAGGGAATAGGGAGCAGGAATTTAAACAGTATGGGTGGCGTCACCTGCTAATAAATAAAATGCAAAAAAGATGTAATAACCTTTATAAATAAAATCAAGTCACATATTCTTCATTGTACATGTGATCAGAGCCTGACAACAGAAGCACATAAACTTGTTCTAAGGAAACAAATCTTGAAGAGAGACTAAGAGTAGTTCTGGATGTATATATCAACATATATGTATAGAAATCCATGAATTTATTGAAGCACAATAAATTTGGGTGAGTAAAGAGAAAAATGAAAGAGAAAAATGATTTTTTGAATATTTACTAAAAATTGTCTCCGTTAGATACAATAAATAAATGGCATATTTCTGAGATTAAAAAAGTGGTACAGAAAAGTAGTTATGATAGTGATAGGGGATGTCAAATCGTTAAAATATCTATAAAAGTCTTCATTTAGTTAAAAGAAGTATCTGAAATGAGGAATAATTATATCAAAGGTAGGAAGCTAAGGGTTTTCACTTTGGATCAGATGATGACAAATAAGGAGAAATGACTGAAAGGCAGGTTATAAACCTTGAAAAAGGAGATCATATTTTAGAATCAATGATAGCCAAATTGGGAAATGTTGAATATAGTGGGTCTTATACCCACTAGTTTAAAAATGAGATAGTAGTAGAAAGTTAAGGGGAATTTTTTTTTTTTTTTTTTGCGGTACGCGGGCCTCCCACTGCTGTGGCCTCTCCCGTTGCGGAGCACAGGCTCCGGACGTGCAGGCCCACCGGGCATGGCTCACGGGCCCAGCCGCTCCGCGGCATGTGGGATCCTCCCGGACCGGGGCATAAACCCGTGTCCTCCGCATCGGCAGGCAGACTCTCAACCACTGCACCACCAGGGAAGCCCAAGAGAAAATTTTTATGATCAAGATGTGGAAGAAAAGGGAATGGCATCTATAGAGAGTTATATAACCAAAAATATTTCTATGAGCCCAGAGTGTAAAGGACGTGTAAAGGAATTTCAAGTAGAAAAAGAGGTATATTAGACATACGGTCAGAACTGTGAGAATAGTTAAGAAAGCCAAAGGCTAGATTGAGCTGAGGATTCTGAAAACTTCTAAAATAACCAAAAAGGCTTTTAAAATTATTTTGGGAACATGAAGAACAAGAAAGGGATCTCTACTTAGGGCAAATGGTCCTTTGTTCATAAACAAAAGAAAGCAAACAAAGTAAAACGGTTCAGTTATTATCTTGCTATGATTTTTATCAAGTTGAGTGGTTTTTCATTTGGAAGGACAGAAAATGTATATTTGAATTGATAATACTTAAAAAAAACTTGAATTGGTAATAGTAAAAAATAAATAGGGAGATAAGAACAGAAAAGGAGGTGGAAGGAAGGGAATACATATTAATTTCCTGATCTTTTTAGTTGCTGTTAAGACACTGAGGTTTAAATATAGTTAATTGTAAAGGTGACCATCAAAAGAAAAAAAAAGGACTAAACTTGTTCCAAATAGAAAATAGCAAAACAACCCCTCCCAAACAAAAGTATAGCTATAAATAGAAAATTAAAAAGGCATTAAAGATAGAATGTATGGTATTCCATCGATGCTCTGAAACATTTGTATTAAAGAAGAAAAATTTCTATACATTTTAGACTAGTTAACTCCTGGAAAACCTCTTTGAAGTTTTATTTTATAAACAGATGGTCTGAAATCTCTGAATTTCAGAGATCACAATGAGAAACATGGATTCATGGAGAACAAAGTCTTGCCAGAATAATGCCATTTCCTGTTTTTGAGACAGAAGAGGGAAATTCTGTTACTATTTGGGCTGCAGTAAGGCCTATGATTGTTTTTCATTTTATCCATGTGAACATTTTGGGCAAACGATGGCTTGATAAACGAAACCAGGTGGGGTGTCCAATGGCCTCATCTGGCTATATAAATTAAAATTAAAAGTAATTAAATAAAATTAAAAATTCAGTCCTTCATCTACTGATTGGACAGTGCAGATACAGAATATTTCCAGCATCACAGCAAGTTCTATTGGACAGCATTGCCCTACAGATTCTGATTCTGTAGGTATGAGGTGTTCCAGATTTGGCAGTCTCTCTAGAGATGACCTATATAGTTAAGCAGATTTGTAACTATTTGAGTGATTCTTCAGGTCCTACCTCCTATTATTTTTTCATTAACCCTATGTTTCAGCTAGCCTGTTTGTTGGTGCTCTGTGAAAGCCCCTTACAACTTGCCTTCGGCTTCCCTTCCTCTTTTGTTTTTTAATATATAAATTTATTTACTTATTTATTTTTAGCTGCGTTGGGTCTTTGTTGCTGAGCATGGGCTTTCTCTAGTTGCGGCGAGCAGGGGCTACTCTTCATTGCGGTGCGCAGACTTCTTATTGCGGTGGCTTCTCTTGTTGCAGAGGGTGGGCTTCAGTAGCTGTGGCTCATGGGCTTTAGGTGCAGGCTCAGTAGTTGTGGCGCATGGGCTTAGTTGCTCTGCGGCATGTGAAAATCTTCCCAGACCAGGGCTTGAACCCGTGTCCCCTGAATTGGCAGGCAGATTTTTAACCACTGCGCCACCAGGGAAATCCACTTCCCTTTGCTTTTGCTGCTCCTACCTGCTTTTGTGAATTCTGTTTGCTGGTTGTTTTCTCAGCATCTGTTCTCTCTTCCTGCCTAAAAGATTACTGACTGTCTTGAGATGTGTGCCATTCCTCAGACTCAGGCCTGAGGTAAAGTTGCTGCTATCCTCAGCTTCAGGGGTGTGCCTGATTTGCAAGGGGAATGGATTTTCCTTTAACTAACATTGGTTCAGGAATATGTTTGTAACCCAAATGACATATGAGGAGGGAAAGTCTGAAAGTTGGAAATTAGGAAGAGTTTCCCCACTGCTGAGAGACCCCTGGGAAGAGAAAGCTTTACTTCTTCTAAACATTGTGTACAGATGTGATACCTAGCACCGCTAGAGCCACTTTCCTGTCAGCTTGAGGATAAAGCCACCATCAAGGATATCAGAGCTGTTAGATGGAAAAAAGTGAGTCCTTACATTGTTGAGCATAAACCAGCCCTGAAACCTGCCCTTCTTCTGTATTTATTGTTCAGTGATAACATTTTCTTATTTATCCATTTTCAAATGTCTTTATTACTTGCAGATAAAAGCATCTTAATTATCCTTCAAAATTTAACCCAAATCTCTACTTCTGAAGAAACTTCCAGACTATTTTTGTTCCCACTTCTTTTTCAAAGTACTTTTAGAATATGCTGTTCAAATGTGACTTCCTTGGTTCTGTTAAATTACTGTCCTTAAATTGTTTGATTTCTTGGTCTTCAATTTAATTGAAAGTTCTTTGGAAACTCAAACATCAAAGTAGCTTGTATATAGATAGCCAATATGTATTTTTTCCTTGCCTTCCTAAATTTGTGATTACATACATAGTATGAACTTATGGAAACATTTATTGGTGTAACAAAGCAGAAATTAATTTAGCAGTGTTTAAAGACTTTTTTTAATTAAAAAATTATTTTATTGAAGTATAGTTGATTTACAATGTGTTAATTTCTGCTCTTCAGCATAGTGATTCAGTTATACATATATACATTCTTTTTCATATTCTTTTCCATTATGATTTATCACAGGATATTGAATATAGTTCCCTGTGGTATACAGTAGGACCTTGTTGTTTTAAGGGTTTTTGAAATAAAGATTTTGTCATTTGTTTTGTAGCTGTTACCACTGACTGAAGAAGAGAAAACTGCGGCAGAGCAATTAAGAGCTCACATGTCAGACTTACGATGAAGAAATGGACTTGCAAAAGGGAACTCTAATGGGGAAGAGATCAATTCCAGAGAGATTTAGGAAGCTGTCTTTTTAGCATTTGATGACCGTTGGGGGGATGACAAAGGAGATTTGGCTTGGGTTACTGGATAGTGATGCCTTCCACGAGAGAGGGGAATACAAGAAGAAGGGCAGATATTGTACTCATAATGTTCAGCCAAAGGGATGGAATGGAAATAAAGAGATTTAAAAATATATATGCGTATACACTTAGTCTTGTAATTTCAGGCAAGTCTCAACACCATTTTGTATCTGTTTTTGTATAATCAGGATAACACAGATGTCCTGGCCTACTGTAAAAGAAAATTATGTACTACCAGTCAGTCAAATGTGAATGAACATGCTTTGGAAATTAAAGGATAGAAAAAAAATTTGTATTATGTTATACATATGTATATAATTTTATTATTGAAAATTCTGATTGCAGATGTGGTCACATTATTGGTGAGACTGCTAATATGTGACTTAACAGTCTCCCATAAAACCTAACTTAGTAATAAGCTGGCTTTTCTGTGACAGCCTTTTATTTTTGTCCTATTCCTTCTTCCTGCTAATGTTGAGCAGCATGAGCTCTGCTTTCAAACGCTGTTTTACATTGTCCCTGTTATACTTCAATACTACCTTGGTTCTCCTCTAGTCTATATTACTGTAATTGTTCATTCTACTGTATATGAAAGCTAAGAAACTGAAATGAGAGGATCACTGGCAACCGCTACTTGCCAGTTTGTTTTGTGTGTGCGCGCGCGCGTCAACTTCCCTATTAAAAAAAAGAAAAAAACTAATGGCAAGTAAATATGAAAGTAAATCATGGTATATCTATACAACAGAAGGTCAAGTTACCAGTAAATTATTACTGTTAATGTTCTGGGAAATGTTAAAGCTATGCTAAATAGGTAAGAGGAGAAGCAGATATTGTAGCTTTGTCGTCAAGATTGAGCTTTGGACTCATACTGGATATGTAAACACAGCTTTTAAATTCTAGCTGTACGACCCTGAGCAAACCACTTGACTTGTGTGTGTCAGGATGGCTGGAAGCACAATAAGATGGTAAAGTATTACGGTTTGATATTTAGTAATCCTTCAATAAATATTTCTATATATGTCATGAAAACAAGGCATTGAAAGATTAGGAAAAGTGTATCAAATGTTAGTTTTACAGGTTATAGAATTATACTTTAATGTAATTTTAAAAGAATTTTTTCTGTTATGTTATTAACAAACAATAGCTGACAGACAGGGTTGGAAGAGTAGCTTTAAATTGTCTTGTCTCTTCTAAATATCTGGAGAACAGAAAGTAACCCTCCCTTTTAAATTACGGATAAATAAGTCACACCTTAGTAACAGATATAATTTTTCTTCAGTACTCAGGCAATTAATTTTTTTTTTTTTTTTTTTTTTTGTGGTACGCGGGCCTCTCACTGTTGTGGCCTCTCCCGTCGCGGAGCACAGGCTCCAGACGCGCAGGCTCAGCGGCCACGGCCCATGGGCCCAGCCGCTCCGCGGCACGTGGGATTTTCCCGGACCGGGGCACGAACCCGTGTCCCCTGCATCGGCAGGTGGACTCTCAACCATTGGGCCACCAGGGAAGCCCAGGCAATTAATACTGAGGAAGTTCCTGTCATGGTATGGTCCTGTCATGGTATGGTTCTGGGATGTGATGGTGATGGTGGGATTGAAAAATGGTGGTATCATGAAGAGGTCTTAACAAGTTACTGGTGTTAAAAGGTTTTGCTTTCAATCAGAAAAAAAACTAGATTGTACTGTTTTTCCTCTATGACTTCCTTCACAAGTTACCTTCTAAATGTTTGTTCTTCCCCTCATCCCTCTTAAAATTGCTCTTGTTTATATATTCATTTATTTCCCAAGGTTCATTTATTGCCCTTTTGGGGAATGATTCCCAAGTATAACCTATTTCACTAGACCTAGATCCAAATTTCCAATAAAAACCTCTACCTGAATATTCAAATTGAACATGTCCAGAATACTTAACAGATTTTCTTATTTTGTTAACAGCAACTATACTGTTAGCTGGAATTAAAGTTTGCATCCCTTTATCTTCTTAGTTAATAAAATCTATAATTCTATAATCTGTAATTCTTTGAAATCTATAATTCTTTGAAATGTTTGTTGTATCCAACCTTCACTTTACGTTCACTCTTACTACCTAATTTAGACCTTTTTTATTTCTCATCTGGATAATTGTTTTCTCCTATGTGACTACTAGTGTTTTTATGTCTTAAGTTGTGATACAAATTAATTTTAATTAGGTTGTATTTTAAATACAACTTTAATTTTAAGAAATTAAAAAAATATAAGTATGCTTATTCTCCCAAATAACTGCAACTTTTTCAGATGTTTCTACATGTATACAAATTAAAAAACATTTTAAACAAAAATAGGCTGATACCATATACTGTACTGCAGCTGCACCCTTTTTTTCATCTTAAAAATATTTTTGGTATCTTCATATCATTCTTTTGAACAGCTGTATATATGAATTTACCATAATTTTTACCAGTTCCTCTTTTATAGGCGTTTAAGCTGTATAATACACAAGTTAGGAGATTTGGAGGGTGGGTAAAGGAGGACGGCAAGGTCAACCTTTCCTTAAGGAATTCTAGTAGAGCACATGACAGGTTTCTCAACGACACACAGCAGTTTAGCATCCTGCCAACTAAATTCCTTTTTTGCTTAAGTTAGCCAGAATCTGACTTAGTGCTTGCAAGCAATGACCCCTAATTAGTTGTACGGGTTTTCTAATTTTCCACTTTATGAACTATTGCAATAAATCTTTAAACATTTTGGGGCTCTTGGGCAAATATATCTATTAGTACAAGAACCTATTTTAATATTTATCATACATTGTAATTTTACCTATTTGCTTTCTGCTATGCTGGGTTGCAAAGACCACTTCTCATTACCCTTTGAGTCTCAAGTAGTATAGTACCGTGTTTCACAAGTAACTTTTTAAATTGGGGTAAAATTCACATACCATAAAATTAACCATTTGCCATTATTAAAATGTACAACTGAGGGCATTTTAGTATAAAAGATGTGCAACTGTCACCTCTGTGTAGTTCCAAGACCATAAATAATTTTTGCTGAAAGAATTTTTTCAGGCACAATTATTCCTAAATTATTGTACATGGCTCGTAGTTAAAAAAAATTGTTATGCCCACTACTTATAAGAAAGTCCAAATGCTTTGATATTTAAGAAATTCTTCCTAGATAAGTGTTGATTCTCTTCAGGTGCATTCAATTTCGGTTAAGTGTAACAGTTGTTTGCAATAAACTGGAAAGGAAAAATTAAACTCAAATTAAGAATTTGATGTACATTGCCTCACACCTTCAATTTCTGCAATCTTTAAACATTTCTTACGCTAGAAAACTGTAGAAAGCAGACGCCAATATGGGAAAGCTGAATACAGCTGATACTCTGGCACTTTCCACAGTCTCATGGCGATAGCTCACCTCGAGCCCCAAGCAATACAGGGCGAGTGTGGTTGGGTGTGGGTCTGACGTTTACACCGTCCGTGGTCCCGTCCTCCCACTCCCGACTCTGAAATTACCGCTCTAGGCTTCACTCTGGAGCTTTGCTTCCGTACGTGGGGCGGAAGTCTTAAAAACCTGAGAATCTGGGCTTGCTCCCCAAGAAAGAAGCACTAGCCACGAATCCTCTGCACCACAGTTTATCAAGGTGCGGGCCACAAGCCACCTGCGGCCAAATCACCGAGAGAACTTGTTGAAAACGATTTCGCGGAGCCCCACCCTAGAATCACGGAGTCCGAATACCTAGGGTTGTGGCTCCGGAGTCTGCATTTCCCACAAACCCTCCAGGTGGCTCCAGCCTTTGGCGCGCGAAAGTTTGAGACGGGTGGAGCGCCGCCCCCGCCCTGAGGGAGACGGGGCGCGGTCAAGCGCCGCGCCCTCCTCCGCCTGCGCTAACACTGGCCGAAGGCACGCAACCCTGCAGCAGCCAGCGGCCAAATCTCGTGTGCTCCCCTGCACCGCGGGAACTAGGCGCCCGCCGCTGGTCCGCTCCCTTAGCGATGCGGCCTGCGCGCATGCGTGCACGCGGGCCCCGCCTTTTCTCACACCGCACCTTCCGCTACCCTGGTTACCGTTGGTGTTTGCGAATTCCCAGCGGCAACTTAGTTGCGGAAGACCAGCGCCGCCGGGCTTCAGCTGCGGTTTGATAGGCGCGCGCCCGCGTCACGTGGGCAAGGCTCCTGCTCGGTCGCTGGCGGGCCGCTCAGCCGGGAGGAAAGAAGCTTGTGGCTACCGCTCACCCTCCCACTGCGCCCTAGGGCTGGCGCGCGGATAAAAATGGCGAAGTGTGGGTAGCTGGCGCCAAACCCGAAGCGATGGGGCGCGCAAGTGGGGCGGTGGTCGGAGACCCCTGATGTAGGCGCCCGACTGTTCTCCGCGGCGATTTGACTTGGTGACCTCAGGCCGGCGCCTAACAGGTCAGACCACGGACTCCGTGGGTCGCCGAGCGCCCCGCCGAGAGCCGGAGGCAATGGATGAACAGAGCGTGGAGGTGAGGGGGCTTGAGGAAGGTGGTGCTTAGTCTCTCTCGCCACCCGCTGAGCGTTCTTTATTCGAGGCGCTTTGCCCTAGTCCACCCTCTCGTAGGGCGCCTTGCCCTAGTCTCCCCACCCCGCCGCTGCCTTTGTGGAGGGGGCTGGCCCAGTGCAGTGGACGCCGTGCTCGTTCTGCAGCCCTCCGGCTACCCTGTGCTCTGACCCGCAGTCAGGTGGTGCGTATCCTGGCGTTTTCAGGATGTCTTGGCACGGGTACTCATCGCCACAGGGTTTCTGCAAGCTACAGCCTGTGCAGAGCACAACTGCAGATTCTTTAGACGGACGTGCGCTGCGACTCGCCACCAGTTCTTACGAGTTTTTGCGCGGATCCAAATCTCCCTCCGAATGGATAATCATTCCCTCCCAGCGGTACATTTTGTAGACATCTGCCCTTCCTAGATTGATTGAGGATATAATCTTACTATCCTGTTTGACTGTAGTTTTCCAGAGCAACTTATTCTTTTTATATATGACTCTTGTAAACGATGATTTCAAACGTTTGGGGTATTTACGTTAAGGCTAGGAACTTAAAAAAGATTGCTTATTGGACATAATTGTATAATAATTGTCAAGACTTGAACCTTGCAATTACTAAAATACTAAATCCTTGATAAGGAACAGCTATATTACCTGGGCGCTCCACTTGAAACTAGTTCATCCAATGGTCGTATTGTCCCCCGCCGTACCCCCCATCCCCCAACGTCTGCATCTCACAGATTCTTTCTGGTCCTGCAGAGTCATGGTTAGACTCATGAGTAATTTTCTCCTTAATTCCTCATGTAAAAGTATTATAAAAGCTTTGTAACCTTACCTTGGTTTTAGAAGAGTTTAATTCCTCTGGAGTGGAGTAAAAATAAATGTGAGTACTGTAAAAATAAACTTAAAATATATAATAACCTACATTTAATTATATCTGTTTTCTTGTCAGATACTTCCTAAATGGGTTCATCTGAGGCTGGCAAAGATAATACTGCTTCTTCTGTTTACGTATTTTTTTCTTCCCAAAGCCTTCATAGAGCTACCACCAAAATTCTCCATACGGACAGAATTTCAGGCTCAAATAAGTAGTTAGTTGGTTGCAGCAGCATGGCAGAAATTCAGAGCAGAAATTCAGATTTCTGGATTCTGAATTACATTGTTTCTCTCTTGATCAAAGTATGCTGCCATTAATGTATCTTTTTATACTTAAATTATAAAAGCAGTGCATCCCCCTTGGGGAAATTGCAGAAAAAGTCACAAGTTCATAGTGTTCATACAGTCATAGTTTGCCTTTTTTTTCCTTAGTGTTACACATCATAAGGGTTTTTTTTGATCATTAAACAATTCAAAAATATTTCTGTGACTATCATAGTTTATGTTAACTCCTGTAACTTAATATTTTGACATTTGGGCTATAGCCAGATTCTTGCCATTATAACTGATGTTTCCGTGAAAATATTTGTGCATGTCTATGTTTGCATTCCATATTCTTTTCTTAGACTAGAACCACTGTGAAGCTTAGAAAAAAGGAAGCATTTTTTCCCCAGGAGATGTTCTGAGGTACCCTGGACCTTGACTAACCAAGTCCTGATATGGAATATAGTTAAAACTGGGATGTTATCAACCCAAAATAAATGTAATTGTCAGGTGAATTATTGCAAGCATGCCTTTTACTCATGATTCAGTAGCGTAATCTGGTGAACCTTATATCTTTTATTATTTTCAGAGCATTGCTGATGTTTTCCGATGTTTCATTTGTATGGAGAAATTGCGGGATGCACGCCTGTGTCCTCATTGCTCCAAGCTTTGTTGTTTCAGCTGTATCAGGGTAAGTTGTATCTCTTTTTACATACATTTAGTATATATAGGGTGTATTGTAAAAACCATTTTCTTTATCTTGTTTTAATTTTACATTTTATGTCCTTTTAAAAATGTCTTAAATGATTGTTTCTTAATAGGGAGACCATCAATGTATATTGTTTAGTACTGTGGAGATGAATAATCATCAAGTCATAATTGCCATGAAGTGTCTGGAAACCAAAGCCCAGTGTAATTTTAGTATATTTACATTATTAAATCACTGTGCATTTAACAAGTACTTACTAATTGCTTACCTGTGTTGTGTTTGGGGTTGAGGATACTAAGATAAGTGATGGAAGTGCCTGCCCTGCAGGAGCTTAAATCTAATTGAGAGAATGGTCTTTGTGTTTATATTGAAGAATGTGTAGTGTCATAAAGAGGCACTCACAAAGTGCTATGAGACTCAGGAGGGAGAGTTTATACTTGTTTGATGGGTAAGATAGAGAAAAAGCTAGTAATGGGTTAAAAGGCATATAATAAAATCATATAATCTTATAGTTAAAAGAGACCTTAAAGATGAATATAATCCAGTGGCTTTAAAAATTGAATGTAGGTGAACCCCAGAAACAAAATTATGAGGAAGCTTAAGATGTAAAGCAGAAGAGCTTATTTTGGTTTTGTGTGGGGATTCAGTCACACATCTTCAGGCTATAGTTGAAAACTGCCTGGCCCACACGACTCTTAGATTATTTCCTTTATTGAGAAAGTCAAAGTCATCTAACACACTCATCATCTCAAAATTTCTCTGTGGTTCCTTATTCCTGCCTGAGGAAGATAAATAACCCTTTGTCAAGAGTAATATCTGTAACACCTAAATCATTTGCTTCCAGTCACACATTTAGCAAATGATGGAGCTAAATTTGAACCCAGGAAGCCTGGGTCAAGAGTCTGTGTTCTTTGGCACTACACATCTACAGAGGGCCTAAGTTACATACCATGTTGGTTCTCCCACTCATAAACTGAGAGACTTGATCTTAGCGTTGTTTTCTCAGACAATAGAATGTGGATAACAAGATCTGTCTCACAGGATGGTTGTGGCATTAAATGAGATAAGCTAAAAGGTAATTTAGAAACTAAAATGTAGTTAAGACTTCACCTTCCAATGCACGGGGTTGGAGGTTCGATCCCTGGTTGGGGAGCTAAGATCCCACGTGCCTCTCCACCAAAAAACCAAAACATAAAACAGAAGTAATAGTGTAACACATTCAATAAAGACTTTAAAAATGGCCCACATCGGGACTTCACTGGTGGTGCAGTGGTTAGGAATCCGCCTGCCAGTGCAGGGGACACGGGTTCGAGCCCTGTTCCGGGATGATCCCACATGCCATGGAGCAATGAAGCCCTTGCACCACAGATACTGAGCCTGTGAGCCACAACTACGGAAGCCTGCACACTTGGAGCCCGTGTTCTGCAACGGGAGAGGCCACTGCAGTGAGAAGCCCTCGCACCGTAGCGAAGAGTGGCCCCTACCCCCTGCAACTAGGGGGGGCACGTGCGCAGCAACGAAGACCCAACACAGCCAAAAAATAAAAATTAAAAAAAAAAAGGTCCACATCAAAAAAAAAAGAAAAAGGCTGATGGTGGACACTTGTTTAAAAAAAAATTAAAATGTACTCTCCAGGTACTCTCCAGGTGTTGTATTATTCTGTTGTAAAAATAGCAACTCATACATATCATTACGTTTTATAAATGGTAAAGCTGAATGAAGCTAGAGAAATTAAGTAATTGGCCTCTATCACTGTAGTTGATTTATTGGTAGAGTAGATCTGGACTCAGCTCTTTTGATGAAGGTTTAGCATACATATGATCTCTGGTTATTACCTTATACCTCACTGATTCTTTTTTTGTTAAGTTTTTTTTTTTTTTTTTTGACGTGGACCATTTTTAAAGTCTTTATTGAATTTGTTACAATATTGCTTCTGTTTTATGTGTTTTGGTTTTTTGGCCCTGAGGCATGTGGGATCTTAACTCCTGGACCAGGGATCAAACCCACACCCCCTGCATTGGAAGGCGAAGTCTTAACCACTGGACTGCCAGGGAAGTCCACTCATTGATTCTTCATTTCTTCACTTTTCCTCTTCCTCCTCCTGTTCCTTACAAGTATTTATTTCTTAAATATTGCGCTGGCAATCTCTATTATGAAGTTTCTGGGAAATTTTTATCTACTTTGAGAAATTTGATTTACTGTTGCAGGGTTAACTGTCATCTGTGTGCATGGCTCCTAAATCTACTCCTTCAGCATTGACCTATAAATGTCTTATCTGATTGTCCTTCCAGCATCTTAAACTTTGATCTAGATCAAATTCTTCCTATTATTTTCTCAAATTGACTCTTTGAATTCTTATTTTTGTTTGTTCTTTTCTACTAATCAAACTTGAAACCTCTGACACCAATAATTTTTGTCTTGTCAGTTATCTCCTAGTGTCATTTATATCTGTCCTACCTTTCCGTTCTTATTATTACCATCCTAATAGAGAAATACAGACATCTATTACCTCATGCTTAGATAATTATAGTTACTATCTAACTGATCTCTCTGTCTTGAGTCTTTTCTTCTCTCGTCCGTTTTGTATCCTGCTGCCGTATTGATATGTTCCAGTAATGTCATTCTTTTTGCCTCCCAGAAGCCTCAGATTTATTGCCTGAAGGATAAAGTCCAAGAACATTAGCCTTATATTCAGACCGTCTGAAAAATATGGTTCTAACCTTCCTTTTTCAGAGTTGTTCTGGTTCCTGAATTCACCGTTCATTTGTTCATTCATTGAACAAATATTAATTGTGGACTTGGAGTTAGGCACTGACTTCTCAAGGAATTGACTTGTTTTCTAGTTGGGATATAGGCAAAAAAGTAAATAGCTATATGTTAGATATTCTTCATAGCATAAAGAAAAATGAAACTGGTTGAGGGTATAGAGTAGGGACTTTGAGAGGTAACTGGCAGGTTGGTAGCTATTTTAGATAGAGTAGTCTGGGAAGGCCTCTCTGAGTAGATGACATTTTTTTTTTTTTTTTTTTTTGCGGTACGCGGGCCTCTCACCGCTGTGGCCTCTCCCGTTGTGGAGCACAGGCTCTGGATGCGCAGGCTCAGC